GGAATTCAGAGGCGTGATGGCTGAGTCTTCTGGCGGATCCATGTACTACATGCATACCTAAACTGCCAAGTGTGGATGCAACAAGCAGGTGCTTTGAAGAGCTGGGGCGGCAGTGTCACATGTGTGAAACAGTCCTCACAGCGACTGAACCCCATCCTTGTTCCCTCCATCTTTCTCTAGGGACCTGAAGAAAAATAAGATATCCTCACTAGGGGACAACCAATTCATTGCCCACAAAGGACTGGAGTACCTGTAAGCATGACGACGTTCTTCTCCCACTGTCGGGTTCTGTGTTTCTGCTGCTGCGCAGGACAAACTGATGTTTCTGCATTTTGAAAACCTTCTTTCTGCTCTCCTGCTGCTCTGCTTTCTTTGCCGAGTTTGAGCTGCAGAAGTTGGCATTTCCTAGCTTGTAGGTTTGACACTGTAGAACAGGAAGAGGCCAGAGTGCCAGCACTGATCGCCCAGGCACACCAAGTACGCCTCTCCTTGGGAATCTATTTGCAATTCCTCTCTCATGATAGCTTGTGGGATTTTTCACGGTGTTGTCATCCTCCGGTGCCATTCCCGAGATTTCCAGCCATCTTTGCAGCTTTTTTCAGAGTAAGGAAAGTCTGGAATGTTTCACTGTCTGCAATGTTTGCAATTCCACTCTATCCCATAGCACCACCTTGTGTTCTGGAATGGAACACAGAGGACCGTGTTTCATATGGAAAGGCAGAGAGGAAACCCCCAGGGAGGGGAGGGGAGGGGAGGGGAGGGAGGGGAGGGGACCCTTGCGTGAAGGAAGCGCCAATCCTCCAGAGAAGAAGGTGGCGGAAGCACCGCAGTTCAGTGCCAGGTCACATGTCTCGTGAAGAGAAGCTCCGATTCCAATGGGGCCAGAAGGGCTGGTGCTTCTGTTACCTTCTAGTCTCAGCCCACAGCTGGAGGGAGCAGAGCCAGTGAGCCTGGAGAGAGGTGAGGGGCTGGAGGCCACCGTGTCTGCAGAAAGGACGTGAGAAGGACCCAGGTTCAGACTTACCAATCTTCTTTGGAAATGAAAGGAGAGACTTTGCCTCATGGCCACATGCACACCAGCAAGAGAGTTGGGACTGTGGCTTGAGCACCCCTTGGGCCCTTTTCCATCCCTCTTCTTAACCCCGACAGTCTTATATTCAAACCTCGGTGTCCCTGCAGCAGGCTGGGGGCAAACATACCCAAGCAGATGGACTGTGGAGAGATTAAAAGGGGGAATGGAGAGAGTTCTGCCCTCACAGTCTGAAATCAGACTCCTCCACCCCAGCTTCATCGGCAAGGGCTCCAGTTTAAACATAAGGCTCAGATCGCTCCCAAATAAGGCCCAGCTGGGTCTGCTGAGACCCAGCCAGCAGCCGCCCCTCCCCTGAGGAGGAAGAAACCACCTTGGAAAGGGGGACAGGTAGCAAGCGGTGGGAGGGAGACCAGGGTACAAGACCGCTTCTTCTCCTCTTCTCCCCCTTCTCCAGAGAGCTGATGCTGGCATTGCCCGGTGGGGGTGACTGATGAATCCCAGCACAGAACATTCTCTCGGGCTGCAGGGCTTGGAAGAACCTTTGCCAGACCTAGCAGGCAGGCCAGGCCTTTGGACTCCCTGCCAACAAAATCGTGGAAGCGTTTGGTTTCCTCTTTGGCCTGAGCGCCATGCTGGATTCCAAATACCTGGGCTGTGTGCAGTTTTGTGGGTCTACTTTGGCCTTCCACGGATGCTTTGTCTCCAGTCAAGGTGATGAAATGCTCTGGCCCTGTGCACAGCGCCATTCCCCTGATTTCTACCCTGTTGCAAGGATTAAAGATTCTCTGAGGGGTCGGTGCCACCTCTAGCTGGAGCTGGAGCATCTGCAAAACTGCAGGATCCAGTCCTCTGGATCCTTTCACGTTAATTCCTCACAGACCACCCCGGAGCCCACTCAAGCCCAAGGGTTTGCCAGCAGCTTAATTGTTTTGTAGACCTGGGAACTCCCTGTTGGTTCAAGAAAAGTTTTCTGCATGCAATTCCAAGCAGGAGAGATTTTCCTAAGTTGTAATATGGACTGCCATGGATACCATTAATCTTGAAGCTCCTTTTTTTCTTTAAATTCTCCTTTCAAACAGCTTCTTACAAGAAAACAGGATCCAGGCAATAGCGGGCTCTGCTTTTGCTGGACTTCACAAGCTCCAGTGGCTGTGAGTAAACAGGCTTCCTCTTAATGTCGGCAAAACTGGAGTGAGCAGGACTTGCGGATCCAGGCCAGCACTCAGTCCTGCCACTGGCCAGAACTGGCAACCTCCCCATCACTGCCCTTCACAACTGAACACTATCGTCTTTCTCTGATGCATCACCTTATGCAACCTTTTAGGAATGAGGGCGTGCCCATCCAGGAAGGAAGGAGGGAAGGAAGGAGGCAGGCAGGCAGGCAGGCAGACTCTGAACAAGTCCCATGGGTCTGAATGAGGCCCGTGTCAGAGTCAGCATACTTTGAAATGAGTCCAAAGGGAGGCAAGGAAGGGGGAGACCAAATCATGGGACGGAGACTGGGGTGTCCGGTGTCAGTCAAGCTGGCACAGCTGACTTTGTGATGTGGTGGCTTGTAGCCAGCGGGTTGGCTCATCCTTTTGCACGCTACGATTTTTGCTTTATGCTCATCATACCCTTGAAGGCTGGATGGCTTGCCGCCAGTCTGGTGTTCTGCAGAGCTTGGTGGAGCCCTGGGGGTCCCGCAAGATCTTATGTCTTGGGAGAATGGTGGTTCCTCGCCTTGGCTCCTTCCCCACATTTTGGTCTCTCCATCCCTGGAAATGTGTAACACAAGGTAAAGGCGATTCTTCCAAATCAAGCAAGCCTACCTGGAAAGTTATATGGAAGGACGATGCCTCGCTTGCAATGAGCACATCATGGGAAGTGCCAGGAAGACTGAGACCCAGGTGCTGGTTGCATGCGCAAGAGCAGAGGCATCCTTTCTTCCGCTCTCCCACCCCTTTTCTGGCCATTGCAGGTATCTGAGCTCCAACTGCATCACTCACCTGCAGCCGTATGTCTTCCAGGACTTGCAGAGTCTCAGGTGGCTGTAAGTGCATCTTTCTGATGAAGGGGCAGAGAGGCAAGGGAGGCCGACGGGGTGTTTTTCGGCACAAGGCTCGCTTTGCCCATTTCTGTTAATATCTGGCCCCAAACAAGACGGGAAGGAAAGCAGAGGGGAGGCATTTTCCATGCAAAAGAGCATTGGGCCCCAGCAAAGCCGTGTTCCAAAGCAGAGGCTCTTGTGCGGCCCCCTCAGCAGGAGCACGTGCGAGGGAACTGATGCCAGTGACACCGACAACTGACTGGTACCCAGACCCAGAGGCACGTTTCCATGCAGCCCTTCGGTTCCAGCCCAGATGCCCGTCCTCTTGCGTCTCGCCACCGCCACCTCCCACCCTCTCTCACCCAGATCACAGGCGGTGCTTCCAGCACCCCCTGGGCCGACCCACTCGGGCATTCCAGCCTTCCTCAAGCTACAGACCCCGCAGCCGCAATGCACACGGGGGCAACAAGCCGGTGAACAGGATGGGGCCCACTGGCAGCACGGCCTTCGGTTCCTCAGTCCCAAATCCCCCTGGGGAGGAGGGACAGCATGCTCAGGGTCGAAGCTAGAGAAGGGGTTTGTGGGAGATGTGCCCGAGCCCTGCAGGGTCAGGGATCTGCTTGCTCACTTGGCAACAGCCGGGGACAAATACTTCCTCTCATGGCGGACATGCCATCCCCAGCGGCCCAAGAGCGGGTTGGGAGAAGCATCCTGCACGCTGCCTGGCCTGCTGTGTCTCCACATTCTTTATTCTTGTCTTCCAGAATCCTTGATAACAACAAGCTAGCAGAGATCCTCCCGTCTGTTTTTGTGGGGCTCAAATCGCTGCTCTTTCTGTAAGTATGGGGCAGAGGTGTGCGGACTTCCAGCCCCCTGACCGGCACACTGCGGTTTTCCACACGCTTTGTCCCAGGCCCTGCTCCATGATTCACAGCAGATCCTGCGCATGGCCTTGTGTTGGATTCTGCCCCTGGGGGCTTCCCCAGGGACATGCCGGCATTTTACGGCCGAGCATTTAATCCGCAGCCACTTGCTGCAATGGATGTGCGTCTCTCCCATCTACTTTTCCAGCATCAGCCCAGGAGACGCTCAGGGTTAGGTGGGCGAGATTTAGCAAGGCGTGGATCACTCCTCTTCACGGCAATCAAAACTGAACTGCAGAAAATTAAAAGGGTGCATTTCTTTGCTCTCTGTGCTATCAGGCAATGAATGTGGTGGGGGGGGGGGGCATTTCCTGACAGGAGCTCAAGAATCTGTCCAATCCCTTTTAAAGCCATCACCGCATCCCGTGGCAGTGAATTCCACAGTGTGAAAGGCATTTCCCTTTCTCTGCCCCAAACCTGCCCCCAGTCAGCTTCATGGGATGACTGTGACGTGTTGTTCGAGAGGAAGAAAACTGTCCTGTTTCTCCACATGTGCGTAACGTTCAGCACCACTGTCCTGCCTCCCCGCCTCACCCAAACAGCCCCAGTTGTCACAGTCCTTCCAGCCCCCAATGGCTTTTGTGGCCCTTCTCTGCGCCTTTCCCAACTCAGCAGTGTCCTCTTTCAGGAACCAAACACGATCTTAGGATGGACTCGCAAGCGCAGGCTTTCTATGCCACTTCCCTGGTTCTCATAGCGTGTTTTATTGTGCTTCTCCGTGACCTGGCTTCACTGGAAGACCTTCGGAAGGGATTTTCAAAGCCGTTCTTGCGTGATTGCTGGCTCCGGGGAAAGCCCTCCTGAGAGCTGAGCCGGGCCTGTTCTGTACTGAACCAGAGTTAATCAGAGGTGATTCTGGGCTGGTGCAGACTAAATGGAATGATTGATTCTAGAGTCTCGGATAAGTGTTGGTACAAGCAAGTAAGTGCTGAGCATCCGGCACCAATTTGTCAGAGCTGAAAAATGGTAATATCAATCTAGGAACAGCACCCAGCGGTATGTGACCTTCAGTCTGAATACCGGTAAGCAGGTTACCCACTGCCATGTACTTATGAAGGTGATTAATAATCATCCTTCTTCTCAATGATTTACCAGCCTAAAAAGGGAAGCCTTAATTCACAGAATAGCCCCATTTCCACAGCTGAGAAACATCTTCGCCGAACTTAAATTCCAGGAGATGTCAACTGGTTATTTGGAAAGCATGACCTACCCCATCCCTGCAAGGCATAGATTAGCAGAATTTATTGTTGTAACCCTCAGGTCATAATAAGATCTACAGTGCACACAAAATACAACAAAGCCATAAATACTGAATACCTAAAACCATTATACCCCTGATAAGTAAGCAAAGCGCAGACTCAAATGAGATTTGGGCAAAGCTGTGCACTAGTCAATAAAATGTGCTTTCTAATTTTCAAAGATGACATGGTAAAAATGGCCACGTGATGACTGACATCTGCCAGCAGATGCATTCCACTCCTGGACCAAAAAGCTCTCCATAATCAGCCCAACCTCCTCCCTAATTGGATCATCAAAAAAGCCAGAAAGGGTGTCATCTTCTAGGCCCTTCACGTGTCACTGGCCTCAAGGACACAAGTGCCGTTCAGCAGGAACTTTGGGAACTTCCCCCTCAAGAGAAACGGATGGCATGGTTTAAGCATCTTGAGTTGTCAGTGCCTTCCTCGCTGGTGTGCTGGTGAGGACTTCTGAGCTCTCGTGGAACAACAGAACAATGGACTGGAGTGTCCTTTTTGAGTTGCATTCACATTATGTTTAATTTAGCAAAAACTGACAATGTGGGTGTACTGGATGCCACAAAGCCCTTTCTGTGTGGAAAAGAGAACAGTGGGATAACACAGCAAGCCGCTGATGGCCTTCCTTTGTGCTTCCATCCTAGGGACCTTCACAACAATGCCCTGCGAGGCATGCCTAATGAGCCCGTTTGCACGGAGATGCCACAACTGAACTGGCTGTAAGTCCTCCCCGGTTTTGCACTGGGACTTGGGGAGGTGGGACCCAAGCAGGTTTCAGCCGCTGCCCAAGCTCTGTCTCTCGGGCCTGATTTTGGCTGCCAACGTGGTGAAAGCTGCTCAGGCCACCAGCTGGTGGGTGGGGAAAGGTGGCTGCAGCCGTCCTTAGGTGGTGCGGCAACTCTGGAGCTTTTGTTTAACTCTCCCTGTTGGCATTTCCTATTCCATGCAGGGATCTAGAAGCAAACCAGTTCCAAACTCTGCGGCGTTCGGACTTCCAGGGATGCAACCGCATCACAGTTCTGTGAGTGCAACTTTCTTACTGCATCTCCTGGCAGCCTCATTCACACACGTTTAAAAGACTGGACTGAAGCTCATCTGCTGCAGGAGGCAGATATTGCTAAATTTCAGGGGAGACAGGATACGAGAGAGCCATCTTGCCGATGATGCAGTGGGCTTACCTGCCCCAGCATGCCAAGGTCCCTGTGCCCTGGTTTTCGCCATGCCTCAGAAGGAGAGAAGAGACACCAGGAGGGTGTGTGCCCAGAGACCGCAGCAGCTCTCTCGGAAAGCATTTTCTCCAGAGGGGGTGCTGCCTTGAAGTGTCCACCCACAGGAATTCAGCAGGGAAAAGCAGAAAGCAGACTCCACCCTTATTCTGAACAGTCGCCTTGCCAATGAGACTCATTTACCTTCCCGCCAGTGCGATGCACCCTTCAAGGCAGGCAGGCAGGCAGGCAGGCAAACCTCTTTGGCTTGGACTGGAATAGAATTCCAGAGAGAGCTCTGTGTCAACAGTGTCATGGAACCCTAAACAGACAAGATGGGAAGTGTAAACATGGCCCGGCCTTGACATTGCACAAGTGACAGCTTTATGGGAGAGATGAAGCAGGCGCGGCGTGGGCTGGGGAGAGATTCCCCCTTCCTCTTGGCCTCACTTCCCCCTTCCTTCTTCACTGCTAAAGGTTAGACCTCAAACTGGCAAGACAGGCAGTGACACAGCGAGAGAGAAGTGCGGGGGCGAATGGGCCAGGGCTTCACGTGAAAGGCGAGCATTATCACGATCACATGAAGGGCTCACAATTGGCAGCCAGCATGCATGAAATGCACAACGTGGTGCTTTCATGTTGCTTGCATTTGCATCCTGTGAGGACCTCACAGAAAGGGCTCAGAAGGGGCTCGGGCTGACTGCCCACTATCACCCTGGAATATCACGACCAAACAGGGATGTGGACCAGGCACCTTCTGCCAAAGGCCTGCTTGCAACCCACGGCACGGCCGGCCGCCACTTTGTGTGTCCATGCGGTTGTGCGGTACTGGGATCTCTCCATGTGAATGATCCAGCTGCCTCCACTTCTGGGCTGCCCGTGGGGCTGAGGCTATGAGTGCTGTCCTGAAGTTCAGAACTGCCCCACTGAGGAGGCCAGTCCATGGGAGAGGAAGCTTTGCCCAAGGCGGGAGCTGCTCCCCAGCAGCTGCAGCATGTGACCTCCGGAATCCACCATCCCCTCAAGGATTCTCGGCATGTTCCTCCAATGTATTCATTCTTCCAAAACATTTTTGATCGAGTCACTTGTTTTTGTGAATGGGGGGGATGTTCATTCATGTTGAATGATGGTGTGACATTTGGCCTCCCCCAGAAAGCTCTGACAGGTGGCATTCCTGCTGAATTTGTGATGAGCAGTAAGAATGGGCCCATCATGCCTGGCCTTTCTTACTGGTACCTGAATCCTGTTGTGAGACGGTGCTTCATATTGTTCCATGGTATCAATTGCTTTGCACGTTGGTTCAGGCTTCTTGTTGGTGGAAAGGCACATGGGTGGGTGGTGAAATGAATGGGCAATGCATGAAGAACAGAAAGTCACCCTTTCTCCCCGCAATTCTCCAGTGTTCTGAACAAGAATAAGATTGAATGGATCCAGGAAGGGACTTTCTCCAACCTGAACAGGCTGGTGGAACTGTAAGTGCATCGACCGAAAGCCTTCCCCATCACTGTCCAGACCATTTTGATGCTGGAAGCAAAAGATACAAACGGCACCACCTCACCTTCCACCCCAGTCCCATCATTTAACCTGCCCCATGAACCAGGAAGGCCCTTTGTCTCCCAATCGCCTTTCAAGGGCCACCAAAATCTTCAACGTGCGTCTTGGTTGCTTCGTCTCTACAAGCGTTTCTCTTCTCAGCTCCACTGGCAGCAAGTCATTCCTGTCATACTTCTGCCGGGCCACTTGGTCTCCTGTGGCTTTGTCTGGAATGATTCACATATGCTGCAAACCATCCAGATGGCCATGTGGCTATTGCGCTAGCCTAATAAAGCTTGAAATAAATAGATAAACAAATACTTTCCAGGATAAATACAAGCCCCAGAAGAGATGAAGAACAAATACGCTATGGAACTGGCCATCATGAATGTGGTGATGGCCTCCAACACAGATGGCCTTAACGCTTCTGGAGGAAAAAGCCACCAGTGACGTGACCCCGTGTCTCTGGGTGCCGGTCGCTCAGAAGCACGAGTGGGAGGGCATGGTGGTGCCCACTTCCCACTTTGGGTGCCCTGTGGACAGCTGGCTGACCACTGTGAGAAGGGCGAGGGTGGATTGCCTGAGCTACGGGTCTGATCCAGCAGGGCTGTTCTTAGGACCGTGCCTTTAGGAAGCTTCTCAGCAGGGTCCCAAGACAGCATTTCCAGGCTGGATCCCCAGTCACGAAGGTCTGAGTATACCAGCAAGAGCAGGCATGGCTGTGGCAAAGACGGGCCCACACAAGCCCACTTGCTCAAGCCCTTTCTTCTCTTCTGGCAGTGACCTGTCCTCCAACAGACTAAAGGAGCTCCCGCCATCGTGCTTCAGTGGCCTGCATGAACTCCAGCAGCTGTAAGTGTGACATCCTGGCCTGAGCTTCGCAGAAGGGATCGCCTGTCCCTTCACAAGCATTAGAGCCAAAGCAAATGCTGCGGGGAATTCTTCTCCGTCGTGAATCGAGGTTGCTATAAAAATGTAAATGTGCACACTCCTTTTCATAACATTACCATCCAAGTTTATGGATGCACTAAATTATTTAACTCTATTGCCATGCAATTCATTTAAGGAAGGCGTTCCATGGATATGAACAAATAAAGCTGGAGAGCTTTCAAAATTACCAGAACTGACTTCCAAAATGTATATGACATACTGTTTGCATCCTAATAAATTACTCCTCTTATAGAGCCCTGGAAGAATTACAGCATGAATGGCTCTTCTTTCTTTCCAAAGACCATCCCTCCATACCGTCCCTTTTTTCTTGCAGAATTATTTCAAATAACCCTCTGCGCCAGGTCTATCCAGATGAATTCGACAATGTACCCCATCTGCGTTCTCTGTAAGTGCCGCACAGCAGGAATCCTGATCCACCACCACGGAGGCTTCCCTGAGGAGCAACTCTCCAGCCTCCAGATACTGTCTGGGTGGCCACAGAAGTATTCCTACATCCCCAGAGCTGAAACTGTGGAGGCCGAGCCCCCGCCCAGCTTCCTTGCAGGCAGCACAGGAAGAGCTGGGTTGGCTACCTCTCTGCAAGAGCCACTGGGCCTTGGAGAGGAAGAAAGGGGTGGGCCAAGGACCAGAAGGAGGGTGACGCACACCCTCTCCTCTTGGTGGCCCAGTCTCCTTTCCTCCCCTGCCCAGCACGTCATCATGGTGGCAAAAAGTGGCTATTGCCACCACACCTCTCTCCTGCCTTGGGTGCACATGAGCCTCTGAGCCTCGGGGGTTGGATGGAGCCATGGTTCTCTTGCTCAGGACAGGGAGGGCCAGCTGACTTGTTCCCCATCCCATGGCCATTTCTTTTTCAGGAGCTTGGAAGGTCTGGAGATACCAAACATCCACAACCGCATGTTTGAGAGACTGACTAATCTGTCACACATGTAAGTAACTGAGGAAGGCCTGCCAGTGTGTTTGGCTCATTGGGCCCAGAACACCATCCCACTCACCCACCCCAGATCTGCCGGTCTTGGGAAAGGGAAAAGCACCTGGGAAATAAATACCTTGGGAAATGGACGACAGACTTGGGAAATGCTCCTTCATAGGAAATGTCACGGACTATGCTTGTGCATATGTCATGGCCTCTGGAAACGGCCATCTGTGTATAGAAAACGGAAAGAACCCCTCTCAGGCATTGCTGTAGATTTAGCCAGAAAAGTCAGCAATCATGCTGGGGATTTGGACATTGTAAAAAAAAAAAAAAAAAGTAAGTAGGTCATAAGGGGCAACAGAAAGCTACTCTAAGAAAATAAAGCAAACCTTAGGAACTTATTCCACATGGAAGAGGATCCACAAACCTGCACATGGAGAGTCCTCCAGACAGAGGCAATGTGCTGCATCCTCAGATGGCCAACGGAGGCGACAAAAAATAGAGGAAGCTATTCCATATTCATTATGCCTAGTTGCAAGCCTTCTACTGGATGGCATGTGCTCGCTCTCTCTCTCTCTCTCTCGCTCTCTCGCTCTCCAATCCTCCATATCTAAGAAAGGTGCCATTTTCGTCCATGGCAGTTACTTCAAGAAGTTCCAGTACTGCAGCTTCGCACCTCACGTCCGCAGCTGCAAGCCCAACACGGATGGGATTTCCTCCTTCGAGAACCTCCTGGCCAGCGTCATCCTGCGGGTCTTTGTGTGGGTCGTGGCCTTCGTCACTTGCTTCGGGAATCTCTTTGTCATCTTCACAAGGTCCTTTGTTGTCCCTGAGAGCAGCACGCACACGATGGCCATCAAGTCCCTCTGCTGTAAGCTGGGGAGCTGAGGGGAGGCGGGGGCCTCGGGCCTTGCTCACTGGGTCCGAGAAGTACCCCTAGGGCTGGGCGACCCCCAGCGGTGATCCGGCCTGGCTGGCTGCCCCTGGAGCGTGCAACCCAAAGGCACACCCGCGGGCTGCACTGGGAGCCCAGGGCAGCATGGCTTGGGGGGCAGAAAGTGGGCACTTGCGCATTCAGGGTCTGGGCTGGGCTTCCTCCGAGAGCAGGAGCCAGGGCAGCCTGGACCCTGAGGAGCCAGGGAGCTTGGGACAGGGATGTTGCTCGGAAGGGAACCGGGGAGCAGAGAGGACAGAGGGCATTGGCTTGGGATGGGGTGCCATGCGGCAAGATCGCTCGATGCCGATGCCAGTGGCCAGAAGGACAGGAATGGCACTTCCTGGGCCGCGGCAAATGGGGTAGTGACTTGAGCTGAACGTTCGCAGAAGGTGCAGATGAGGTGGGCTGTTATCTCAAGGTCATTGTTGTGAGGGAGGCCCCTAAGGCGCTTCGGAGCATTTCAGCCTCCTCCTTCCCTGCTGAGATGCTGGGGATGCTGAGATGCACTGGATGCTGCTTCCCTCCTGGAGGAATCTGGGTCCACCCATCAGAAAGCAGGTTTCTCCTTTTGCAACAACATTGAGTCAGTGGGAGAAAGCGGAGAGCAGAAGGAGCAGCTATTTGTCACCTCCCTGATCCACGCAAGCCGTTTCATCACCTAGAGATGCACCGAGCACTTGTGTAGGTTGTGCAGACACCCCCCCCCCCGCCCCCCCCTGCCTTCACAGTGCTTCCCTCGGTGTTTGGAGGCTGCTCTAGGCCCTTGTGCTCTTGAGCCCTTCACGAGCCATCCGGCTGGCACCACGCCTGATCTGGCCTCATGTCGGCAGCAGGAAGATGGCCTGGATTGCTGCAGCAAAGAACATGAAGAAGTTCAGGGGCACACAAGGTTGAGGACTGTGAAGCCACAGGGCAGGAGCTGCACCAAAGCAAGGTGGGCACATTCGCCCAAAGCGCCAGACATCTGCAAAATCAGGAGACAATTTCCAACATTTGCAAAAACCAAATTCAAAAGTGACAAGGCAATTCTGGCCCCTGCCTAGTGTTATTTGGGTGTGTGTGTGTGCAAATTTTCAGTATTGCTCATGATCAGAAGAAATTGAAATACTTTCCCCTATGTTTTGATTGTGAGCTGCTGGTTTTATCATGAGTGTGGATTTTTAACTATTTGCCGTTAATCTGTGATGTTAACAACATTCCTTGGCTAGGATTCTCAGCTGCTCTGGCTGGAGGCTGGATAGAAGAAAGGCTGCATGGAAGAGCTTTTAAAAACCGATCATCCACTTCTCTGTCTCTGCCCAGGTGCGGACTGCCTGATGGGCGTCTATCTTTTCTGCCTTGGCGCGTTTGACCTCCAGTTCGCGGGAGAATACAACAAGCACGCCCAAGCCTGGAAGGCTAGCATGGCCTGCCAGATGGTGGGCAGCCTGGCCATGCTCTCTTCCGAGGTCTCTGTCCTCCTGCTGACCTACATGACCCTGGAGAAGTGCCTGTGCATCGTCTTCCCGTTCAGCCACTTTGGGGCGAGCAAGCGGCAGACGCTGCTGGCGCTGACTTTCATCTGGCTCCTGGGCTTCTCGCTGACGATGGTGCCTTTCTCGTGCGAGGGATCCTTCGGGAAGTATTACGGCAGGAACGGAGTGTGCTTCCCGCTCCAGTCTGATGAGACCGAGAGTCAGAGTGCCCAGGGCTACTCCACAGGGATATTCTTGGGTAAGGACTCCCCAGAACTTGCATGTTGCACTCCTTGCGCAAGCCGTGGCATCTACATTATGGCAAGGGAAGCAAGGCGTGATGCTCAGCGTGGGGAGCACAAGGCAAGTCCTGGGCTTCCAGCCTCCCCCTTCCCATGATTGAGGCTGAACAGGTATGGGACTTGGGTGTGGCCCAAGAGAAGGCCATGTGGGGAGGCCTGCATCCTCCCGGGCTCCTCGTTCCCTCAGCTCCTCACTTCCCAGACTTGGTGTCAGGGCGTACATGGCCAAAATAGCACTCCTGGTGCACTAGAGGGACCCGCAGGGTTCACAACCCAACATCAAACCATGGGTTCTTTTCCTGGGTTGTTTGTGATTAACAACCCATAGCTAACAAGGTTCACACATAACAACCCACAGTTTGACAACCCATGATTCAATTTCGACCTATACTCTGGGTTGTCATTAGTGTGAACCAGGCCATAGTGTCAATTCATTAAATGATGTGTACATGCTGGAAAAAACCCACAGAAAAAAGCAACTACAAACAAGCAGAAACGTGACTGCAGGGATTCCTCACAAACAATCTAAATGGCAGTAAAACGTGCTTGCTTTTAAAACACGCTTCTGCCTTTTCGGCGTGCAATGCTTTTCGCAAGCTCCCCCTGTGAAAAGCACCCATCTCCTCCTGTGCACACATCAATCGCTGGCTTCTCTCTTCCCCTTCTCACTGGCAGGCCTGAACCTCCTTGCCTTCATTGCCATAGTGTTTGCCTACGCTAGTATGCTCCACTCCATCCACACCACGGCGGCCCGGACAGCCGAGTGCAGCGTGCTCTCCATGGAGGTGGCCGTTGCCAAAAGATTCTTCTTCATTGTCTTCACCAATGCCCTCTGTTGGGTCCCCCTCTTCCTCCTGAAGCTCCTCTCGTTGCTCAAGGTGGACATTCCGGGTAGGTCTCCTGGCTTACTGACGCTGACATGAAAAAGGGGCTTTGTTTTCTAGAAGGGGCTTAGCTGCTGGTGGCCCTTCCAGGGTTATTTGCTCCCTGCATGCAGAATAGTTAGCAGGAACCCGAAAACTTTGGGCCAGCCCGCTTTGCTCCATTCCACCACCACTGGAGTTCAGCCTGCCTGAGACAGAACACTGGGCTGGATTCCTGCACTGTCATAATCTGGCGATGTGTTAGCCCATGTTTCTCCCTTTCTGGGATTGCTCTGAATATTTTGTCAGGCGATGTGCATGTCTTTGTACAGCAAAACGCAACAACTGCGTATTATAGGCACAGCAAGCTCATACTGAACTGCCAGAGCAGCCGAGACCCCGTGCCACCGAGTGACCGCAGCCTCCTCCTCCCCCCAAACAGGCCACGTGACGTCCTGGGTGGTGATCTTCATCCTGCCCATCAACAGCACGCTGAACCCCATCCTCTACACCATCACCACGACCTCCTTCCAGCAGAAGCTCAGGCAGTGCCTTCAGGGCAGGGCAGCTCTTCCAGGGACACCCGGGAAAGGCGTCGTCTTGCTCTCGGTGCAGAGCAGCAGCGTCTGACATGCAGTGGCAGGGCACTCAGGGTCCGTGCATGTGCCCAGCCAAGGGGCAGCCGCCCCTTTCTCCACTTCCATGGTGACTATAAGCACTGGCTATAAGCGAAGGGGTAATGTCCCTGCTCTCGCACACCCCTCTTTGCATTCCAGGATTCCAGGAGGCTTCCTTGATTTCAGCAAAAAAACCGAGACTTGAGTACAGTCAGATCAGAATTTAAGACTGGATTCTAGTAGGCAGTGCAAAGAAGATGAACGTTTTAGTTTTCAAGTTGTTGATGAAGGTATTCACATCTTCTAAGCAAAAACACTATAAAAAGCAAAAGACACTATAAGCTTGTCAAAGAAATGCTTGTGTCTGGAACACAAGATGTAATAATGAAGTCTGAATCTCTTGCAGGGAAAGTGAAAGGCAGCCAAATCCAGGCACAACTGTGGAGAAGTACACTAGGCCAACAATCATGTTAGTACTTTATTTATTATACAAACAGAGAAGAAGGAAACTTCTCTTTCCTTTTGGCACTCTGGAGTAAGGTACAAAAACCTCTTAAATATAAAATCTCTCTCTCTCTCTCTCTCTCACTTTGGTGAACATCTTCTGCCCAAAAGCTCTCACACTCAAGTTATATATTAAATTAACATTCCAACTGTACAATATTTATAGATAGATATGAAAAAACAATATTTATACTGATTAGAAAATCATAGTCCTCGTCAAGACATTAGTAATACAAAAAAGCGCCACAAACAGACCGTAGCTTGTTTTCTTAAAAGAAGTTGTCCAGAACAACTGATTTATCACCCGTGCAACTGATACAGTTAGATTTCTAACAGATTTGGTTTTCTTGCTTTCCAGTTGGAAGGCTGTCTGATCAGTTGGGCCCCAGGATAAGAAAAAAGTTGGGCTACTTCCAGGCCAGTGTCAGCCAAGGTCAAGCTATACATTTAGAAAGATGGGCATATTGTCGTCACAATGGAAAATTTGGGACATCTAGCAATACCTTTTCTTCCTCCTCCCTTCCAGAACGAGAAGGGGGAACTTTATGTTGGCTGATGCCCTAGGAAGGCATGTTGCTCCAGGCTGCGGCCAGCTGCTTACCGCACCACCTGGCTAAATACGTTATGCTCCAGTTTTATCATGTTACGTGGAAGGGACCCCACGCAATGGTGGAGAACCCTGCAAATTCAAGACCAGGGGACAGAGGTCCATGAGCTGGTGTCTGAAATTCGGTGCTTTTTGCCCAGTTAGACACAGCTACAGTTAACACCCCACGATTCTGGTTCTGTTGCCCTTGGCAGAACCTGAGGTTCAGGCACAATGGAGAGGGAGGCAAGGCTTCCCAAGGTTTCCTCTCTGGTTCCTTAATGCGAATGCAAACTTCTCATCCATCTGGAAAGGTCCCACCAGACTGCTCTAAACAAGACCACCTATCTGTCTCAGCTGAAGAGGACGGCTCAGGTCCGGAAGCCCTTGAACCCGATCACCTGCTTCGTGCCACTCAGCAGATAGCAGTTGACAGCCACAAATAGCAGCAGCCGACATAGTTCTGGCTCTCGTGACCAAACATGGTCTCTCCCCATCTGTCGCTCACAAATGCACACAAACACACACGCGCGCGCGCGCGCACATTTCTACATGATACAGCACAAGTAAGCAAGCCACACACATGCTGCAAAACCTTCGCCACACGCTCGAGCACCCACTCATCTCCTCTGTTCAACACAACGCTGCCCTGCCTCCTAAACATGGCGACAACTTGCTGGCTCAGGCTTCCCTCCATGGCTCATTTCTGCCACTCCTGCAGTTGCGCCCAGTAGCCACATCATACAGGTGAGCCCCAAGGATGATGCTTACACAAAGACACACTCTGACGCCGAGGCAGAACACGGATCCCATTCGCTGTTCACCCTGAGGCGATGGCCCTCCGCTGGAGAGGCAGGCAGGGCCCACGCCCGGAGTGCAAGCCGCTGAGCAAGCTCCTGTGTTGGGGGCAGCTGTCGCTCGCCTCACCCTGCACTGCCGCTGGTCCTCTGGGGCTCCAGCGCCCCTCTTCCCTGGAACGGGTGAAGCCCACTGGACTATCGCAGCAGCCCTGCCGGACTGGACCCCAGGCCTATCAAGCGGAGTATCGTCTTCTCACAGACGCTGCCCTGATGCCTATGGGAAGCCACAAGGAGGACATGAACGTGAGCACACAAGCATCTTCCGAAGAGGAATGCCACTTCCCATGCTGCAGGTCATATACAGCCACCATGATGGGGAGGGGAACCCTCCAGGGCTTTGAGAAGGATTCCGGGGGACGTCCAGGCAGCAGGATGCCTTGCTGAGCCAGGAGACGCCATTACGCACGGGACTCTCCGCGCCCATCACAGAGGCCCAGCTCGCGGCATTCCCTGGACGGAAGAAGAACGGCAGCAGATGCTCCTTTGCGGTGGGGACCAGGCACGGCTGTCTGACAGGCCTCCTCTGAGGAGCAAACGTCCCCCTGCTCAGTTCCAGCTCCTCGCTCCGAACACTTCAGACCTTTGTCTCTGGACCACCCGTGCGGAGCACCGGGAAAGAATCTCGGATCCTGGCCAGCTCCATGCCACAGAGATGGCCAAAGACCTTGTTGTACCAGTCTGGGGAGCGCCCCCTGCGAGCACAGAGAAACAGGCGATCAGCTAAGGCCGCCTCTCCAAGCCACCCCGCACCCCAGGCCCAGTGGAATGTCGGTCCCCAGGAGGCTTTGAAAGCCCGGGAAAGGGCTACGGCGTGGTCAGCAATCCGGCCCTCCGCTGATCAGGAGAATCCAGAAGGAAATATGGAAAGTAAGCCTGTGCATGCCAAATAATTTCCCCGCTTCATTCAGGCACCGGACCAGGCTCTGGGGGGAACCTGCGGCCCTCTGGATGTTCATAAACTCCCATCGTCTCTGGCCATGCTCGTCCAAGACCATCTGGAAGTGATGGCTTTCCCGTTCTCCACTACAGCATGGCTTTTTTGGATGGCGCTTTGGTTCACGCCTGCTGATTTCCAGGCATTTCAGCAGCGGAAGCTGTGGACGGCCCCTGCTCAAAGGTCCTGCTCTTCAGGGGACCAGCCAAAGGGGACATGTCCCAGGGAGGTGCTTCGGCTTGCCATGGGGAAGGGGCCACAATGGGGAGTGGGTGGGCAGAGTGGCTGGATGCCAGGGGCAGGAACAGGCCTTCCCGTCCCACCTCTGCTGGCCGGGCCGGGCCCCCTCACCTGAGATCAGCACGGCAGATGTGTGTCACCTTGGCGCGCCCCATCCCACAGGGCTCCATCAGGTACTGTGAGGTCAGGACCACTGCCCGGACCCCGGCTTCCAGCGGCAGCTTCTTATGGTCCAGGGACAGGGACACGAGGAGGCAGCCCCCCCGGGGCAGGTCTGTGCGCCACGTCCTGCAGCGGGGCACAAGGGACCTCTCAGGAGCAGCCCTGGCAATGCCCGCCCGGCAGTGCCGCTGTGTGCGGGCCGCGAAGAACCGGGCAGAAGCACCAGCGGGGCCAGAGCGGCGCTCGGCACCAGCCCTTTTACTCCCGGTTCAACTGCTCCTGCTGCTGCCTTGCTATATTCGTTTTAACATTTTATACTTCGCATCACGTTGGTTCAAAGTCTAGATACTCCACACGGCTGAGACACCTGCAGGCCAGACGCAGCCCTCAGCCAAACACAGCAGGGCAGCCTCTCTGGATCCCCGGAGAGCAGCAAGCCCTGGGGGCCTCTCTGGCCAAGCTGCTGCCGTGGCTTGGATTGTACTGACGGTTGCCTTGCCGGGTTCAGACAAACACAGCAAGAGCAACAAGGTGGCTGCGAAGTGGAACATCGGCCAGCACACTAGGCCACCGCGGGCCAGCATGGGCCACAGCCCCACTGAGAGCCGTGCAAGAGGTGGCAGGGCAGGGCCAGATCCCCGCTGCCAGTCCTGCACAGTCCCCGCCTCTGGAGGAGCACAGGCAGCCACTGCCACACGCTGGAGGGCCTGGAGAAGCCCCATGCCCTTTACCCACGCCTGCGGGAGCTCCCTCTCCGTGAGGCAGGGCGCTGGGAAAAGCAAGGGCAGCCCTCAGGGCTTGGGCTCCTCACTGACTCCTGCTGGCTGCCCTGAGCGTCCTGACCATTGCCCAGCCCAGCTAGTCCAAGCGCTCCTGGTCACAGCAGTCATCCTGGGACCTGCGGAGGACCTGCCTCCCCCCAGAGGGTGCCGCCGAGTCCCAAGGGTTAAAGTATGCATGCACGGCACTGTGGAAAAGGGTTCTGCAGCCCGGGGCTGGTGCCAAACATCGCCGCATCGCGGTTTTCTGAATGGGGAGGGGGTGGCAAGCGGGGGGCTGCTGCAGAGAGGGGCGCCAATCCTCCCGGCCCTCACCGAAGGACGACGAAGTCCCGCCGCGGGTGGGGGCCCATGCTGTCCACCACGTAGTGGTACACCTCAGTGCTCTTGTCCAGGGCCTCGATGACGCTCGCCTGCAGCAGGTCCTCGTCCCACAGGGGCCGCTCCCGCAGCACCCGCTGCAGCACGGCGTGGGGCGGAGCCTCCACCTCGGTGCACACCTTCCACAGGCGCAGGGGGTGCCCGTCCCGCACCTGGGCAGACGAGAGGGCAGAGGCGCTCAGAGCACGGCTGGCTGGCAGCCACTGCGGTGCCATCACAGGGCCTCCCACTGCAATCTCTTCCCCGGATGCCTCGCACAGGCGGCGACACAGCCTCCTCGGGGTGACCCGCACTGCCTTCCGCCACCACACCGACCTTCGGTTTCGATTGGCAAGAGGAGGAGGGGAGCCCCACCCCCTGCACAGGTGAGGGGCGGCAGGCCACGTTCTGGGAAAGAGCGGGTGCAAGCCAGCTTCACCCACCTCCGAGCTCAGTCCCCTCCTCCCCAAACTCCTGTTTGGCCCAGCCCTCCCTCCAGAGACGTTTCTGGCAGGGAGAGGCCATTCCAGGCCGAATCGCAGCGTCACAGAACAGCAGCAGTGCTCAGTGCGGGACTGGCAGCTGAAGCATCCCCCCCGGACGGCTGCCCAGTCGCACTGTGAATGCCGCGAGAGTGGGAGAGCCCACCGCCTCCCCCGCTAGTCGGTTCCACTGCCGACTGCAATAGCCTCAGGGTTCTTTTCCTGATATCTAGCCATAGTCTGGCTCCTGCCCCAGGAACGGGGGGAGGGGGGGTAGAAGAGACGGAAAGAAGGGAGACCGAAGCAGGGGAGAGCAAGACACCCCCACACCTTCCTCCTCCTCGTCCTCCAAACCTGAGTCAAGGAGAAATTTGGCATCCGCCATGCCCTGCTCTGCAAGGGGCACTTCGGGCTGCCCACTGTTGCAAGCTGCTCTCGTGAATCAAGAAATCGCAGCGTGGCATTCCCATGAACCCGCTGACCCTATCTGATACGAATCCCGCTGCACTATCCTTCCAGGCGGAGCCTCCACAGCGAACTGACGGCCCCCTTACCTTCTTGCAGGCAAGCTCTGTGTTCCGGGGGCCGGGCATGCTGATCCAGCCCTTGAAGCGCTCCGAGGACTCCTTCAGCAGTCCCTGGATGCTGCCTTCCAGGCCAGTCTGGAGATCCCGGCCGTCCCCCTGCAGGCTCTGGCTCATCAGCTCGGAGAAGGACAGTGGCCGAGCATCCGCCGCCAGGTAGGAGTTGCAGAGCTGCAGCATCATGTCGTGGGGAATCTGCAAAAGCCAAGCTGAGACGCTTAACCACTGGGCACACGCAGGCCAAGCACCTGCCCAGCAGCAATGGCAGAATTCCCCTGAAAGTCTTGCCTAGATCCACAGCACACCTCAACTCTATTCCAGGCACATCAGTGGGATCTTGGAAAGGGAACAGAGGGCCGGGAAGCAGGATCCAATCAGGGCAACCACAACAGCTCGGCATGGCAGAGGCGAAGGGGCCCTGACAGGCTGAAGCTTTCTGAAACATGTCAAGTTTGTCCTTGCCCAGAGCTGAAGCCTGGCAGAGTTTGGCAGAAATGCAGTGCAAACACGGCAGCCTCCTCGCAGCGTCCATCACTATTTCTGTAAAGTGGGTCCATGCCTCTGAGAAGGAGCGCCCAAAGCTGACGAGGTCTCAGGAGACGAGCCCCAGGCAGGTGCTGCTCACCTGGAACAGCCGCGCACCTTGCTGCCGTGCTGAGGCTGCACAGCTCCTTCCGAGCCGCTTGTTCGCAGAGGGAGCCCTTTCCGGCAGTGCCGCGTATGAAACCAACAGGGCTCGGCCCTCGTACCTGAAACAGTTTCTTGCAGTCTGCAATCATGTGGGAAAGGCCTTGGGTGGCAGCCATGTTTTCATTCAGGTCCTTCTGGTCGGGCTTCCCCATAGTGCCCCGCCTGTGAATCATCCTGCCACGTGGAGAAAGAGGGGTGGGCACATTAGCCACAGCCGCCGGCACGCCTGGTTAGGGCCCTTCGGCACACAGCCAGGAGTCTGTCCTTCCCTGGACAGCTGTGAGAGCAGGGACCTTGGGGCGCCCAGATGTGGTTGGACAGCCACTCCCATGATCGCTGCCACCACCGACCGTGCCGCCTGAGGGGGCCAGGCCCCGCGGAGGCCCAAGGGCATCCAGACTATCCAGGGGCATCCAGACAGCAGAAGGATATTGGAGCGGGAGCCAGCACCAAACCTCTCCTTATTCACAGAAACCGCCCAACCATATTGCCCCTTCCTTTTATCCAGGAGCATCAGGGGCAGCCGCACAAGAGGGCCAGCACAAGCAGCGAGAGCTTCGAACCATTTTCTCAAGCGGGCGGTGGGCAGGGGGCATCCTCGGGGTCAGGCAAAGCAGCGCTGAGCGACGGGAGCAGCCTAGCAGCTTCCCAAGGGAAGGAAGGGTGGGTGCAGCCGGGGGGCACAGCGGAGGCTCCCAACCACCAGCACGTGTCTGGGCTGCCGGAGGCTCTGGCAGGGGACGGCACTGTGCAGTCTGGCCCCTGGCGAGGTCAAATGCGTCTGCATCCACATGCCCAGCGGCCAAGAGCAGAGCTACTGCTCTCCAGCTCCTCCGGACCAGTCTGCCTCAGCATCACAAGAGCAGCTTCCTGACACGGCTGTTACCCCCGCAGAAAAAGGGCTGCTCTTGGCAAGTGGCAGAAGCCGGTCCAGAGCACCCCGCGGGCCGTGCGGGCCCCTTTTCCAACCAGAGAGACCCTTGGGATGTGCCCGTCTCGCGGGTGGCCTGAGTGTCCCTGGCCATGGGCAGGGGCCAGCAGGCAGGAAGGAGGGAGAGGAGGGGGGGCAGTGCGGCTCAGGCCCGTGGCTTTGCACTCGCCACCCCTGCTGGGCGCCCCTACCTTGGGGAAGTGCTCTCCTTCTTGGAGACGTTCAGGTGGAAGAGGGACGGGGCCAGGCACACGGCCAGGTTGCCGGCGGTCATCTGGTTCTCCTTGGCAGAGGCGATGTCGCTGAGGAAGTAGAGCAGTGTCTGCAGCACCTCCCTGTTCTCGTCCGGCATCAGCACGGTGGCTGCCTGCACCGCCGGCAGCCGCTGCTCCCTGGGAACAACTGAGGGACGTGGAGAGTGAGTCCCCGGCAGGGAGCAGCATGGGCCGAGACGCCACAGCAGCAACGATGGCACCCCACAAAACCACCGGACTCCACAACCCACACATCGAATGCAGACTAAACGGTGCTTGCCTGGCACACAGACTTCTGCTTCTGTTCATCGAGCAAAGAGGCAAAGAAATGGCCCCAGCCTGGTCCAAACCAGTCCTGCTCAGCCACCCCAGTGCTGGCTTCTGGGACTGTGCCAGGCCTCCTTTGCATGTGTTGAACATCGAAATTTCATTGCTGAAATTGCAAAGGTTTCTTCCAATGATGCCACCAAGCTGGCAAGCCAGGGAGGGTGTCCGGTAGGGTGGGCAAGCTTGCAGCACTGCACACCTGCAGGGTGGCAGAGGCTCCAGCTTGCCCCCTTCCCCATCCCTCCGGTGTTGCCCTGTTCCCAACAGCAGTAGAACAGACAGCTTGGTGCCAGGTGGGAAATGTCACCGGGAGTATCCTCCAATGTTCCCAGCCAACGTGAGGGCTCCATTCAGCAAGAATTCTGCCCCCTCAGTTGCACGGCAAAAGACGTGACACATGCAGCAATTGAAAGGGGCAAATTCCCCAAGGAGCTGCCTCAAAAGGAGAGAGGCGGAGGCGGCTCAATAGCATTGCCAGACAAGGGGGAGAGGAGCTTCCTTGAGCAGCTTTTTCCCCACAGTTCATCTTCTCTGCCCATGCTAAGCACATTCCAACCATCAAAACCATGCCAGAACACCTCATTTTGCTAACCCTAACCCTACCCTGGTGCAACCCTTAACCCTAATATAGGGCTAAAGTTCCACTGAAAATAGGGCAATCTTGAAAAAGCCTTCCTTGAGAACTTTTTTCTGCACAGCTCATCTTCTCTGTCCATTCAAAACACATTCCAACCATGAAAACCATTCCAGGAGAATGAGGTAAGCTACCCTGAGGTCTTTAAGAAAAAGGATATAAACCTAATAAATGAATAATTTAAAATACGTCCTAGAGAAGGTAAGCAGTCCCGAGTGAAGGAAACACCCCTTTCCAAAATGCTCTGGGCGCAGCTTTTCTATGCGCCAGGGTCCCCCTCCTGCCTCTTGGGTCGTCCTTCGCATGCCCGCCCCCTTCCCGGCTGCACCCGCAGGCAGTCCTCCAAGCCGCGGGAGCCCTTGGGATCCCCAAGTGCTTTGCCTCCTGGCGCTTTCCCCCAGCAGCTCCCTCCACTCACACTGGTAAATCTGCAAGAACGTGTCGGTGAGCTTGCTTGTGAAGACGGGCTCTGGAAGGTCGCGGAAGTACTGCTTCAGCAGGTCGGCCACATCGTATGCAGACTGCCCCTCGTAGTTCACGTGGTCCGGCGAGGTTTCACTCATGTGCCTGAGCGCCTGGATCCGAGACTTCACTCCCGACTTGCGGAAAATGCCAACCTGCGCAAGGGACAAGGCAGGAGAGAGAGCGTGAGGATGATCCCTCCTTTGCCCCACAGATCCCTCTCGGTCAGGGGGCGCCTCGCATGGATCCTGAAGAGGGAGAGCCGAGCTGGGGCACCAGGTGCAGGAGCCGGGCAGCACACCCAGGGGCTTCAGGGCAGCCTTCCCCTGCTTGGTGCCCTACAGATATTTGGCCTTCAGTTGCCCACAGTCTCAGGGCCTATGGCCAGAAATGCTGGGCAATGTAGTCCAGAACACGTGGAGGTCTTTGCAGAGAGAGACTGTTCTTTGCAGTGGCTAGGCGGCCATTTATATCGCATCTGTACACCCTAGCTTAGTCGATTCTCCCTCTCGTTTTTATCTTTGGCTTTTAAAGGCTCTTAACGCTGCCCAAGATCGAGCAGGGATCCAGAAGTGCAGCGTGGGCACAAGACACCAGGAGTGAGCAGGAGTCCGTGGTGGCTCCCACCTGGTCGAGGCACTGACTCCGGATGTAGCGCATGGCCTGCTGGATGCTCTGGGGCAGCGGCTGCCCCGTCCGCTGAACGTTGACAATCGGTGGGACCCCAAAGACCATCTTATCCCTGTAGTCCGGAGTCTTGCTCCTCTTCATGAACTTTGGGATGGTCCTGCCAGAGAAAAGGAGGGTGCTCAGGGGGAGCTTGCATCCTGCCACACAACCGCATCCAGTTCACCCACAGCGTATGTGCTTCGCCGCGCTTTCTCCACCGCCCTTGTTGACTCACCATGCCCAGGACTGCTTGTGGGGGACGGAGTACTTCTCAAGGATGGCTGTGAGGCGAAGGAGGGAGAACTTCTGGAGAAGGTTGAGCTGTGCTGCTGACTGGCGATTAATCTCCAAGGAAGCAGAGGTCAGGCTGGGCCGGTGGGAGTTCTGGAAACTGTGCCAGCGAAGCTTCCTGCGCAGGGGGAGGAGGGGAGCGGGGAGAAAGGGGTGATCGATTTCTCAGCATTCCAATCAGTTTTTCCGCTCAAGCTGGGCCCTTGGGGCAGTTTGCAAATGCAACTGCACGGCAGGGCTGCAAAGGGCACTTTGCACCAGAATAAAGACAGCAGCTACAAAAACACATCATGGTGGGACGGCAGAGGGGCAAACGCTGGAGTGCTGTCCCAGCCGGCATGCTCTTGGTGTGCGTCACTCAAGGGACACCAGCTCCCCACGAAATTCCCACTGCCCGGGACAGGGGATCGCCCATCCATCACCCAGCCCATCCAGAGGGCACCAGGTTGCAGAAGGCTGCAGCAAAAGGGGAACAGCAAAACACATGAAATAAATAGAGGAGGGTGTGTTTCTGCAGCCCCCCGGGCCGCTCCCCTCTCTGTCAGCACCCGTCTTTCTACTCAGGGAGCTGATCGATGGAGGTATCCATCATGTGCTGCTCCCAGACGTGGCCAAAGGGAATGGGCAGAATACCATCCGCAGGCACCAAGCTGTGGAAATAAAATTGGGACCCACTCCGCAGCCTCCTCTTAAAAGCAGAAAGAGCACCCGGCTGTCTTGGAGGGAGGCTGCGGGGAGCAGCAGTTGCGGCGGGGCCATTGCAAGGCACGGCAATTCGGGGCACGCGGTGTCAATTTCCGCTCGCTAGAGGGCACCATGCGCCCAGCCTGGGCTCTGCTGCTGAGCTTTTGCCCGCTGGCCAGGGATGCTCCTTCCCAAGGCATTCCAGGCCACCCACGGTGCTTTCCACCAGCCGCCTGTGGCCATCCTGGCCTCAGCAAGAGATCTCCCTGGGATCCACTGAGGCTCTGGGTTAACGGGGCCAGTCAGCAGGCTGGGGCAGGGCTGCTGCAGTGCGCTCCCTTGCTCTGCAGCGTGGCCGGGAGGCCATGTGCCGTGAGAGGCAGCACGGACGCTTCCACTGTGTCTCCTGCCTCTGGCCCTCCACGCGCAGGGGAAGCGTGGCGGGAGCGAAGCAGGAAGACCTGGCTCAGGGGCTCTGCCCAAACCTGGCCTGGGGGGCTCCCTGGCCTCCCCTATCTGTCTGGCCGGATCAGCAACAGGTAATTTGAACCCCAAGTTTAAAAACAGGAGGTAAGCCAGGCCTGCCTGGGCCGCACTGAATTCCGCCCTTGCCTTACCTCTGCAAATGGCAGGATATTGGGGGCAAGGGGTGTCGCCGAAATGACATACGTGTTCTGCTGGAAAGCACAGCTGTTACCCGGGGAATGTCTCCTGCAAATGCTGCCGCACACGCTATGACCACCAGCCGGACTTAAAGGGCTCTCGTGCTCTGAACACGATGCCCAGGCACACCTGGAGGGGCCGTCTCGACCGCCGGGGATACCACAGGTTTGGGGAGGGCATGGCCCAGCATCCCTGTGGGGAGCAGCCTTCAGTCTCCAGGCAGAGCACTGGTCATTCGAGAGGTGCCTCCTCCCAGCCCCCCACGCCCCCCGCTACCTGCACGGCCGCGTGAGGGAGGCCCCCACACCAGAGTCCCTCCGTTCTCTCATCTCCACATCCTCTGCCTCGTTCAGAGAGTTGGCGGTGCTGTCGAAGTCGCTGGCGGAGGTGCCGATGTCGGACACGGACTGCTGCTCAAAGTTGAGGTGGGCAGGTTCTCCTCCGGAGTCAGTCTCCTCCTCCTCCTCCTCCCCTGCTTCGTCCCCGAGCACCTCCCCATCCAGCTCCAGCCCAATGGCGCTGGACCAGAGCTCCACCTTCTGCTGCAGCCCCCAGACGTGCTGCAGGATGTCGTCCAGGTCCCCATAAGTCTCGCCCCGGTCCGTGCCGGGGAGGTTGTTGCCGCTGCCAAATTCTGGCACGTTGTCGTAGAGGCTGGTGCTGCTGCCTGTGGAGCTGCAGGACAGCCTCCTCCGGCGGAAGGCCAAGGGCTGTGTGGATGGGGGGTCCACGCTGCCACCCAGGCCGGCCCCCGCAGCCTGGAGTCCCGTGGCTGTGCTGCTCAGCGTCCAGTCTGCCAAGCAGCTGTGCTCGAGGGGGCACAGGCTTTCGATGGAGAGCGATTTGGGGAAAGTGCCTGGCTTGTAGTCCCTGGGGATGTGGAACAAGCAATCCCGTTTCAGTGGGTCCTGGTAGCCCAGCCCTCCAGGCTGCCGGCCAGTGCCTCTCCCCAGGGCTGCCTCGTAGTCTTCCAGATACATCCCGCCACTCGGGGGCTGACACTGCAGCTTGTTCTCGGCTGACATCAGAGCTTGGGCAGTCCAATACCCCTCTGAGAGAAGAACGCTATTGCCATGGGAAGACGAGGGGGGGGGCCCACGCTGGCGGAGGCCCCTTCCCCCTCGTGGAGTCCTCAGCATCGTTGGAGGAGCTCCCCCGGGGCCGGGCCTCTGCCCCACCTGCCTCTTTGGCTTTAGCAGAGTCCCCCTTCTCCTTGTCTTTCCTCCTCAGAGACTCGATCCTCCTGAGGAAGCTCCGTGTCCGCCGTTTCTTGGGTTTCTCCTTGATGCTCCTGCCCAGGTCTGGAGATGGGCTGGCTGGCGAGGGGTCACTCAAGCTTGGGATGGAGCTGGCCAGGGTCAGGGAGTTCTCTGGGGAGGACGGGCCATGTGGGGCAGCCACAGCTGCCACAGTCCCCGCTGTACTACCCGTGCTGGCGCTGCTGTGCAGGGATGCCACCTCCAGGTCAGCGCCAAGGTCCGTGAGGATGCTCTCCTGGCTGGAGCCCTTCCTCGGGGTGGCCCCTTTCTCCAGGCTGTGGGAGAGGAAGTCGTCCGAGCTGATCCGGGACCACCTCTTGCTGTCCCTCTGGAAGGCCCACCGGTCACTGATGGCACAGAAGTCTTCATCTTCTGAGTCTTCATTCTAGCCGAATACAGAAACCGCAGGGGCAGTCAGCAGCCCAGGAGCCCTACCATGCACATGTGAACAGGGCACGGGCCAGGTGGAGGCGGGCCCTGTTCACACGTCCCTTTTGGAGCGCATGGCAGAGCGGGCGGAACCCGCCAGTGCCGGACGGGGCCGGGCCAACGCCGGGCACTGACCAGCCAAGCCCACTCGCTGTCGCCCTTTGGCAGCGCGGCTTCGGGGCAGCAGCTGGACTCCCACTCAGAGGAGCTGCTGCTTCCGAGGGTCGGAGCCTATTTCCTGTGGGGACGCATGCAGGGGGCACGGCAGGAGAGCTGCTGGGGCCGGTGCCTAACTGGACTTGCACAAAACACCCTCTCGCGTTAGCACTGGAGGCCCCAGTGGAGGGGAGCATGGTATGCTTGCCCCGAGTGAGGGCAGAAGGGGTGGAGACGGTGCAGAGCGAGGGCGGGAGGAGAGGGTGGCCGGAGGGAGGCACGCAGGGCGGCCATGAGGGGCTTCCAGGGCCCGTGGTGGAGGGGGGTGCCAGCACTTGGCCGGGGGCAGTGCTATTCACACGGGGGGGAGGTGCCCTGCTCCCTTTAACTGGGCACACCGGGTCTGCGGCTGCAACACTGGCATGCAAAGCACATGCCTGACCCTTGTGAGGAAGCACCAGCCAAAGGGAGCAGACCCTCCCAGAAGCCGGCCCGGGGTGGGCTGCGGGCGGAGGGGCGCAGGAGAGCAGAAAGCTCTGCGCTTGGCTACCCCGTTCAGCTGAACGGAAGCCCTCTGAAGAAAGCTTTGCTCTGGCCCAGGGGCCCGAAAGGGCCACCCCCACAGATCCCTTGCCGTCACCACACCGTGTTTCATGGCAATGGCCCTCCCACTGGAGGCTGGCCAAGCTTTTCGTCTTGCAGAAGCCCATCCCATCCCCGTCCCTCCACGGAAGCACCAGGGCCATGCTCTGAGCTGGCTTCTGGGACAGAAAAATGGTGGGCAGCAGGCACTCAGCGAGCACCGTGGGGACCAGCAGAGGCAAAACTCTGTGGGAAGCAGCCAAACTGCCCTGCTCCTCTGCCCCTGCGAAGGAGCAGCAAGCGTGAGCTTGGACAGTGCCGGGCTGCATCTTACACTTTTGCATTGTCTCCTAACAAAGGCAGATGGCCGCAGCAACACGGCATCAAGACAGCTCCAAACTGGGGCATCTCTGCAGAATCGCTGAACACGCCGGGAAAGGGGAGTGCAGGAGACCGACTGGGGCCCTATTAAGACAGGCTTCCTGGTTTCCCACTGCCACTTGCTGCAGAGGCCACGACTTAGCCCTGTGGACTGCCTGCTGGCTCCGGAGCATTCTGCCCTCCTGAGATGCAGCGGGGAGGCAGGCCCCAGGCAGGGAATCCTGCAGGACAGGGAGCCTGGGAGGATGAGGGCGGTGAGGCCTGGATTCCTACAGATGCTTCTCCGCCCGCCGCACGTGGGGCTGCGTCTCCCCCATCGCCACCCTCGCCCCTGCGGGGCCACCACGTACCTGCTTCCGCTGAAAGTGCACTTCCAGCTTCATCGAGGCACACGAGTTCAGGGTCATGAGCCTCCTGCGAGCAAACAAGAGGCACTTTTGTCTGACTCTGCTGTCCCAGCGCAGCTGCCACTGGCCAGGCTATTTAAAGCAAGCGGCACTTGTTTCAGCCACTGTCGCTCGCCACGCAAACAGCTGGGGATTGAGTGGCCTTGCCGGGCTGTGGGGCCCCGAGCCGCTTTGGGGTGGGGGGGGCAGGCTCAGGCTAGCAGCTCAAGCCACTCGACCTCGCCCGAGACCTGAGGACTTTCATCTCCCGCCAGCGACCGCTCCCACGTCCCACACCCAGCGAGGGGCTCTCCCGCCACAGCGCCACTAAAGGCACGCTCCCGGGCCAGCTGGCGAGGGGCTCCGATCACGGGCAGCACATCCGCCTCCTTCTGAGCTCATCAGTTCACCCCAGGAGGCCAAAGACTCGGGAGCCTGGAGAGAAACTCCGGGGCGCTGGGCCAAGCCCTCTGCCTCCCAAATCGCCCCCGGGCAGGTTCTCACACTGCCGCCTTGCAGAGAAGGTGAGGCACACTGTGAAGGCCACGCCGGTGTATCAAGCCAACCAAAATGGCACAAGACACGTGCAAGCCTCCGAGATCCCCAGACCGCTCTGCCAGGGGAGGTGCCACAAGGCGCAGGGGCTGCAGGGGGCACGGGAGGGACTATGCACAAAAAGGGGCCGCGGTGCCGGCAGAGTCTGAGTCCCGAAACGACCCGGGGTGGGGGAGGGCTCTGGGGACCTTCAAGATGGACTCTGGGCGACACGGAGACACGTCTCCTGCGTGAAACGGGCATCGGCGCCATCCTGAGCACAGGACGCCGGAGCAAGCCAGGAGCCTGCGTGGGCCCCCGGCCCCTCCTTTTCCTGCCACAGCTCCCCGTCAGACCGCTTGGCCCCCCTTGTGTCCCTGCTGGCTTCTTCCCTGCAGATGAGAGCTCTTTGCTCTCACCTCTGCTGTCCGCAAAGGGTGGGGGCACTGGAGTTATGCTCCTTTTGTGGGGGGTGGCTTGTCAGGCACCAAGAGTGAGCCTGGGGCCAGCACCCCATCCCTAAGGAAGGGAAAATAGTCCAACATGGACTGAGCATGAACCACGAGCCCAGAATGCTGGAGGGAATGGAATCGAACCTCCTGGAAAAGGGCCTGGCTGGCTGGCTCCTCCAACAGCAGCAGCCCACACGGCAATACTTCTGCTGCAGGAGGAGGAAGGAGCTGCGCCCTTGAAGGGGCAGCCTGCGTGGAAGGGCAGGCAGAGAGGAACTGGCACCCTTGGCCTGCCGGGAGGCACATGACCTGCTCGCCTGTTATTAACTTGCTCAGAGCAGCTGACTTAAACCGCTTTGACACTGAGCTGACAGTAGCTTAAGCCCCATTCAGTCTCCCCTTTCTCTGAGATTCTGGGCAATTTGATAACCGTTTCCCTGAGGAAGTCCATAATCTAAATGGAAACAAGCAGCAAGCAGGGAGGTAGAAAAGCGGGGTGGATTAAGTGTTCCAAAGCGGCTCAATTAAATCGCTGTGGGGCTCCGTTGAGGGACTCTCGCTTGCTGGCAAGCTCGCGTGCAGAACCGGCCACAGAGGGTCTCGGGCCATCCGCAGAACAGGGGGGGCAGCGAGCACGGCTCCACGCAGGTGGAGGCTCTGCCAGCAGAAGGACCACGGCTCCAGCTCTGGTCTCCCCAGTTTCAAAAGAGCTAGCAGGGCGCTCCCGACCACTTGGAGGAGGTCAGGTGGAGTGGGAGGCTCTGATTCTGCTTGCCCTGAATTTGAACTCCGGCTCACCCAGCCCAGCCAGAACTGTTCGCTCCGGCTGGCTGCAGTTCCTCCAAGCCCGTCCCAGCCCTGAGGTGGGACCTGAAGGGACAATGCAGGGAGAACTCCCTGGCCCGGGTTGACAGATTCTGCTCCGTGCTTCCTGCTGCCCACTGCCCATGGGGTCTAGGGGCAACTGGACGTCCGCCAGAGGAATTTACACTGATTGCAGAATCCGGATGCTTCGGTGCAGAATCTGGGCGGTGCCCTGCCCTGCCCGCCAAAGAATCTCTCTCTCCCCTTTGGCCTGCATTGATGAATATGCATGAATCAAAATGCAAATAACCTGCAGAGGGATTTAAGGGAATCCTGGTCCAAAAGGCGGTGGTCCTTCTTCACAGCGGCGATGTCAAGAGGGAACAGCGACTCTGAGGACGGGAAGAGGGAAAGGAAGGGCAGAGGCATGTCATCAGGTCAGGAGGGAGGGCCAGCTCCTGCGTGCGGATGGTGCATGAGCCGGCTGCAAGCAGGGCCCCCTCGCCCACCGGAGCAGCCGAAATGCCCCTGCGCGGCCCACGTCCGTTCAGCGGCACCCCACCCCCAGGGCAGCCTGCCATTCCGGGACCGCTGCAGGCTCAGAAACGGGCCTTCAGCATCCAGTTCCCATTTCCCATAAAGCGATTTTTCTAGCCTTTACGGCCATGTGTCAAGATATGTGAGCAACTGGTGGAAATTGCAAACTGGTGAAAGTCTGGCTCAGGTATTGCTTCCAAAGTGGACAGAGGTGCTGTGTGCACACTTCAGAAGAAGAGTAATAAAAACCATGTTAAAAATCAGTTGCAGCAAGTGGCCCTTCCAAAATATGACCTGGTTTAAAAGGAAACATGGGAACAACACGAACAAACATGGGGAAGCCAGTGTGGCTTGACGGCCACCGCGGGGACCCGCGAGGTGCAAGTTCCGCCTTGGCCGTGGAGCTCCCTGGTGGTCTTTGGGCCAGCCCCCCCCTCTTTTCCTAGCCTACCTCACAGGGCTGTTGCTGTGGGGAACCGGAGGAAGCCTGAGCTATCCACCTTGGGTTCCTCGCACTAAGAATGCAAAGTAACTTAAAACATGTTGAGTAGAAGAAAGAACTGCTGAGAGAAATAGCAGTCGGCCATTTCATCTTACAGTAAGATGCCTCCACAAGTCGAGGAAAGCATCTGACGCCAAATGCTAAGCAAGATTAATGGCATGAGCCAAGGCCTGCGTTTGTGACCGAGAGCTGAATCGGTGCTGCCGCGTGTTCAGTGCTCAAATTTCTCATCACCCCGAGAAACACGGTCCTGCCCAGCAGCTGCCAGCCTTTTGTTCCTCCCCTCAGTCTGCAGCTTTAAAATCCCAGGGAAACGTCCTTCCTTCGAGCAACATTCTCTCTCCTGCGGTGGAAAAGGTTGTGGGGCAGCGTGTGCGGAGCAGCAGGATGAGGTGTCCTGGGGGCAGGAGATGAATTCCCCCCCCACATCTAGGGCAGCTCTGGGCCCCTTCCCTTGACTTCTTTCCAGGCAAAACACCCCCCTCCTGGTAGCAACCTTTGGCCCCGGGGCCAAGTCCCAGGCAGGCAGGCAGGGGGCCCCTTCCCAGCAGGATGAGCAGCTGCCGGTCTAGCGCTCCCACATGAGGAGGCTCATCTGCCTGGAGTTCCCAGCATCCCCTGCAGCCAGGCATCTTGGGCAAAGTGGACCCCTGCAGAGGAGAAGTTCAGGGACGCAAAACAGCCGATAGCACAGGCAGGTGAAGAGGGCCTGATCCAGGCGGACATCCTGCGTTCCTGCCAGGCGTCCCCGGCTGGCCCTGCAGGTGCCTGATCGCCTTGGAGGAAGGCTGCCAGCGCGGCGCGAGGAGCCATCCGAGAGGAACGCCGCAGCCACTCTTTGGCGTGACTGCGATCCACTCGCTCCTGCTCGCCATTCGCACCGTGCTCGGCCGGCCCCGAGGAAAGGCCTCCTTACCTTCATAGAGCTGTGCATATTGCGGAAAGCCAGCCGCACGCAGCCAATCGCATGCTTTCTTGGCTTCGGCCTCTGCAAGGAAGAGAAGGAGCAGAGATCAGGAGACGAGAAATATACTGAACCTGCAGTCCTTGTGCTTGCCAAGGGCCCTCGACGAGAAACACTTACATAGCGGCTGGCCTGAGCCAGCCCTCCCATCGAGCCTCCTCTGGGCTGTGGAGGGAAGGGACTCCTTTCCAACGTCCTGGGCATTCTTGTGAGGAGTGCAAGAATGTGTGCCTGCAGTGAGCACGGCACGGCTTTTGCTTCTTCCTCTTCATGCCGGTGGGGGAAGAGGGCCTGGGGCCACAGGACTTGGGAAGGAGGGCCAGCTCCCCCGGCACTTCCCTCCCAGGGCAAAGCGCAACTTCAGGAGTGCTTTTGTCGGGACCACAGTGCAGAGAGGCTGAAACCACAGTTCCCTGTTCGCCACGATGTAGATCCTGAATCCCCTTCCGAGTGGCAGTTGTTCAAAAGCAAAATAGCCCTCACTCAGTCAGATATGTCAACACATACAATACATTGCTTGGTTTAGCTTTCTGCATCCAAACGGGAGGGCTGCCCTTGCACCCCCGCCCCCCTCCCATATTTGAGGTGCTATGAACTGTCAGTGGGACCAGATTCTCCTTGGATCGTCCCTGGCTTCTCATCCAGCCCTTTTGCAACTGGGAAAGGAGGGAAAGGTCCACTTGGCCTTGTGTTTCTAAAAGTGGGAGCAACGCTTCCTAGCCAGTGCTTGGCCAAACACAAGAAGAGACGTTCTCGGGTCATTTGTGGCTCAAGCACATGCAAAGTGTGCTTCAGCCAGGGCACAAGCGTGAGTGCACATCCCACGACCGCATCCACTCTGCACAGCAACTGAAGTGTGGCACATGGGCCGTGTCATTCCAAGCGCAGGGGCCTTACAGTGCTCGCCTGAGGCCCGCAGGGACGCGGAGAGGCGGCTGGCCTTTGCCTAGGCTCTGCGTGATTCCTGGCCAAGGAAACCGGGGCACCCAAGCACCGGCCTGAACACCACGCAGTCACATCTCAAAGGAAAAGTGGCAGGGCTGCACAAGGGGGGGGGGGGGAGGAGGCGGCCTTCGCCAACACCGTCTGCCCAAGGCCTGCAAGAACTAAGCCCGTTCCCATCCGCACGGCCCTCTCCCACGTACACGCAGGTCTGCATGCGTGCGTGCACTCCTCCTGTTTGCCAGCCTCTCTGATTCAAGGGAGCATTAAGGTGCTTAGAGCCCTGCCCCATGAGCCGGAGCCCTGAAATCTGGCAGCAGACCAGTCCAAGGCCCCTCTGTTTCTAGAAGCATCTGCACACGAGATAAGTTGGCTTCCTCCACATCCTTTCAATACGCCCTTGATTTTCTTCAGCAATGTCTTAGCTACGCCCTGGATCAACGAGCGGCTCGTTGCCAGAGAGCACCGACCTTGCTGTGAGCCCGAGCCGCCCCTGACCCGCTCGCATGCCGTGCCAAGAATCCCTTTATCCGGACCACCGGCAGAAGCGCCTCCATTTCTGCCCCATCTTTTTATTCAGCAGAAGACCAGTGTCAGCAAGAGGGCTATCCAAGCCAAGGCAAATAAATACGCGCAGGACCGTTTCTCTCTGAGCGCCAGCCATGCTGTGGGAACCAGGCTCACCCATGCAGGAAGGCGGGGTGTGCGGCGAATATGGCTTCGCCGCAGAACTGAAGCTGGCAGGTCCGATCTGCCATCTGCGCCACCTCATGGGAGTCGTAGACGCGCCAACGTGGGCTGCAATGGCGTCTTGCTGGGCAACCGCTCCCGTGCCGGCATCCAGGGGAGGCGTGAGGGAGAGGGGGGATCCAGAGAGGCTGCTGCAGATGCGGCCAGGTTCTCTAGGCTGCTCTCCAGAGGAGCACGGAGCACGGGGAGCGCCCGCTGGGTGGGCCTGGGATCCTGGCGAACTCCGCTTCACATGAGCGCGGGGAATGTGAGCTCAGCGCAGGGCATTTCCTTCCTTCCCGATGTTCCCAGAGCACTGAATGCGGGGCCGGAAAAGAGGGCGGGCCCTGCCTTTCCCTCTGGCCTGTCGGAACAGGGTTTGCTTTTGTATCAAGGTCTTCAGCCACCGTGGTTGCGAACACAAACGAGAGAGCATTTGGGGCAGGGCAAGTGGACACCCACCTCAGAGCGTTGTCCAAGCCAGGCACCTGCAAGAGCTCTTTTGCCCCCAAAGGAGTTATGGGTGCAGCCCGAAGCCTGGCCCTTTTCCCCTCCCCACCGCCAGCTGCTCAAGGGCAAGCATTTCACTGTTTTTGTTGCAGCATGGTACAAATGTATCAGAGCACAGCAGGCAAAGTGCCACATAATCCCAATATAAACACAACATCAAGTGGGATTGGCCACTGGTCCTCCTTTATGTGCCATTTTCAGACTAGTTTCACAGATCTGCCAATAACCAGTTAGAGGCAGCGGTTATTGTGATTTCTAGTGCTTAGCTCTTGCTGTTCTTGCAAACAAATCCCATCTTAACTCCAAAGCCTTGCATTTTACACCGTTTTGAAATTGCGACTGACTTGGTGGTAATTTCCCTTTGTCTGGCTGATCTGGAAACCAAGTGCTGGTGCCGCCAAATTCGAGCACTTCCCAGTTTAATTCCGACAGAGCAGCAGTTGTGACTTGTGGAATCGGAAGTCCTTTCCTGCACCACTTGCTTGCCACCCCCACAAGCAAGGAAAAAATGCTGCATCAGAATCTCGCAGTGTGCAAATTCCTGCGCGAGGAAATTTTGCAAAGTCCACTCTCCCGTGGAAATGCATCTTCCCGTTCATAAGCAAGGTTTGCACAGAACACAGGATGGGTGCCTTGGACAGAGAAACAGAGCGCTATGCTTTTGGCTCATTCCACAGCAACTTAGATTCTTCCCTTTCTGATTATGGGTCAGAGCCGTGAAGGTGTGGGAAGGCGGAATTGCACAGCTCAACCGCTTCTGCTCCAATTCACAAAGGTTACGTTTTCCCATTTACTTACTTTATTATTTTTTTCTACCTGTGGTCCGAGACCACCTTTGAATGCCACAGCCTTCCTCAAGTGGCTTTAAAAAGCAAAAGCAAATCAAACTCTTCGAGCACCTAAGGGGGGAAATCCCTCACAGGTGAGTTGTCTCTTTGTTAGCATAAAGCAAAGTGCCAGAAGATGTGACACAGAAGTGTGCAAATATCTGTGGCACTTTGCGTGGGCCAAATAACTGAATATAAAAACAGTGCATTTCAGTATCAGTGCTCAAAGCACCTTATAGAAGCAATTGTAAAAGAACGTGCTTAGAATAAGGTGAATAGATGGCAACAGTCATCACGTGCTTATAATGTCATCCATCCCTGTTATTAAAGAATAGGTGCCAAGCCTGGCAATAGGCTAGGCTTCCCCAAAGGCTGGCAACTCTGTCTGCTCACTGCAAAGAGGCTGAGCCCTAAAAGACGTTCCTCCACTCCCAGGAACCACACAGATGTTGAAACAAGGGGAGGCATAATCCCCCTGCTGTGCCAAACCAGTCTGACAAAGTGCTCCATTATTTCTAGCCCGTTTATTTTGGCTGGAGCCTGTGAACTGAAGGGTCCGGTCCCTGCCTGCATGCAGGTGCCCACCTGTGTGCCAGAGGAGGAGAGGCTGCAGGGCGGTGGCTTAGCCCTGTCCCTCTCTGCGAGGAAGAACACTCCGTTCCAACCTATGCATGCAGGGCAAAGATGTTGTTTGGGACCCGCAAGTGCCTGGGCGGGACACGTGTGCAAAGCACCTTCCCTGCCTCACAAGGGTCCGCCCTGCACCGCGTGCTCCTCCTCATCTGCTCTGCACCGGCTGGAGCGCAGGGCTGTAGGAAAAGGCACCAAGAGGGTTAGCAGGCCGGGAGTCCGCCCAGCCTCTTCTCAAAGCATCAGCATCCCCAGCCCCGAGGGCCAAGGCGGACTCCTCAGTTCCTCATCCAAAATGCCCGCTCAGCCGTCAGTGTGCAAAAAAGAAACCCCGTCAGAGCGTTGCCTGGCTGTCGCCTTGAGGAACGAGGGGAAAGGAAGCTGGGCCAGGGGGAGTGAGCACGTGGGCAGGCGTTCGTGGCCTTGCTCGCGCAGCACGGGCCACGGCCGCGGCGGCTCTTTCCACTGGGTCTCAGGTGATCGGACAAAAGGGAGCGGAAGCTGTTCTCCGGCCCAAGAGCACCGATGTCTCCTGTTTGGTGTGTGCAATATGCACGCTAGAAATTGCCAACGGATCCTCTGTGCCAGCCGGGACACTGGCAAATCCCCTCGCAGGGGACTGGGCCGGCCATTTATTGAAACAGTTGTCTGGAAAGGTTAGCCCCTCCCCGGCCCTCGCCTTGAATTTACTCATATTTTCCTTTTAAAGCATTCCTCCTTAGCACATGTCACACGGTCTGTGTTCTTAGACTGCTTTTACATGTCTTATGCAGCTAGTTTCTCTTTTTGTCTTTTAACTGGCTATGAGCCTTCCTGAACGGCCTATAAACATTTTGCTTATAAACAAAAATGACATTTGCGAATCTGAAGATGTCATGCAAGCCAAGCTGGTGGACAATGTATCTGATTTCTATCTCAGTCAGATATTTATATCGCAATCAGTTCAGATTTAAACACTACTGAGCTAATGTGGATAAAAGGTACAGGCAGGAATCCGCTCTGCTTTGTGCCATAAGTAACCCTGTTTAAGTTGTGCCAACACAGCAAACAGGAACAGAGGAACAATCATTCAGCGGGGACTTCAAAAAAGCAAGCATCGCGGAGAACCCTCTGTCAGTGGCAACATCCAGATGTTCTTGTGCGCAAGCTGACGTGCAAATGCACACAGCTCACAGCAACCCAGGGCATGTGAGAGAGAGAGAGAATGAGAGAGAGAGAGCCTGGCTTACCGTAACATATTGAACCAAGCCAGTGAGTATTGTGGAAAGGGATGAGTAAACACTTTGCCTTAAAAAGCTTGCAGCCAAATGTTACAGCATTTCTAGCTTTGTGAAATGTTGTGAATAGTTTTTACCTTTTTTGGAACAAGACATAGAAAGGCCAAAA